GGACAAGAGGTTGAAACTGAGGTCCCTAGGGCAGCAGAGGCTGGCTTATATACAGGGGAAGATAAGGGCAGGCTGTGTGCATTGGTCTGTGCGCAGCTGGTCCATGCACAGCATGCTGACGCAGCCCCGGGGGCCGGTGAGTCAGAGCGGCTGTGTCAGCGGAGCCCGAGCTGTGCTGCGCACTGCTGCCCATCTAATCTGATTGTACAGTAGATAAGGAAATGTCTGTTTCAGGCGTATAGTACAGAGGTTGCGGGTTCGAGCCCGCGAAAAGGAAAAAATTAAGAGACAGCTAGGTGCCGTGTCAACTCGTGACATTACCATTACCAGTCTCTTACTGGGTTAATGTGAGTGCTATGTTCTAGCACTACTACTGATGTTCATGTTGTATTCTTTATGTTCACAGGCAATACCGTACCTGTAGCCAAGTCTGATATCAAAACTTCCTTGAGTGGTCAATCAGATGGAGCGGGTATATTTATACAAGCACAGATTCACTCAGACTTTAGATGTAGACTGTATCTTTGTATAACACTAACACTTGAGAGGGAGTTGGTCCAACTAGTGTGGTGGGCTGTTCTCTGGGGGGGTCCAAAGAAACAACTTTTGACTGGTGTAGTGCCCCAACTGTCCTCCTATTTATATGTACATGAAGGTATTCTAGAATGTTCCGTACTATTCTACCCTCTCTTACAAATCCTCCCTTCAGAATCATCCGGAACCTGCCATCTGATTCTATCTCATTCTGGGTGATACCTGTGGGTTCTTTTGCCAGATCTTGTATATTCTGGCTTGTTCTGTGTATTTCCGGGTTATTACAACTTGATTCTGGATTCTTCTGGCTGTTTCCAGAAATGTTCTGGATTATTCTTTGAGTTTCCAGCAAACTCTGGTTTATTCTATATTATTCTGCAAGGTTCTTTTGAAGCTTCCAGTTTATTCCTGCATTTTCCAGTCTTATCTTGCACATTCTGGCATTTGCTCTGTTTGCTGGCTACAGCTTCATATAAATTGAGTCCCTTCCTCCTTTGCTGGATTATGACTTTTAAGCCAAATATGGTGCAGACTTGCTTGTTTCATGTAGCAATCAATTTTGATGCATGACAGCATGTGCGAGCATGCGAGTGCTGCTGTATCGGTGCACCTGCCTTTTTTGGGCACATAGCCAGTGTGCTTGCATGGAGCGCCTCTGCTTTGGGCCCCGCGCAGCAGTAGGTCTTTCTGCATAGCAGTCATGCCATAACGGGAAATGTGGTGCACAGTGGGAGGGGGGTCCATGGGGGTCTCCCCCACGTAACAAATACATGTGCTCCCAATAAGGAAACACTGACTGTTTTGGGAAGTCGGACTCTGCACGGGTCTCTCACCTGTGTAACAGTTGCATCATTGTGGTCAGTCTCAGGCGCACAGCACCCTTTATGGCTCCGCGCAGCAGAATGGGGGTCTGTGGGGGTCTCCCCCGCATAACGGGAAATTCATGGGAGTATTGCAACGGGAATTCAATAGGACTCAACGGGAAGCTTACGGGAATTCAATGGGAAGCTTACGGGAATTCAATGGGAAGTTCACGGGAATGCCACAGGAATTCAATGGGAATTCAATGACAATGTATTTGAATCAGAAAGGACATTTATGATTTCCATTAAAAATACTTATATACAATGCACAGGCAGGATAGCAGGCATGAAGTGCCTACACATATATGAATGGGGGTGCGAACAGGTGCAAAGCACTGTTCACACCCAAAAATATGTTTGCTGTTTTGTACCGGGTGCAAAGCACCCATGCAGTCTGTATTACTTTACATACCAAATAAGGCGCAGAGCGCCTTTTGGAATAAATATACCAGGCGCAAAGTGCTTTATCGTGGCAACGCCACGGGTCACTTAACTAGTATAGAATTACTACAGGCAACATCTGTGGCTGTATGTGGCGAAGGGCTCCACTGCGAAACAAAGGATTACCATATTCGGACCTGTTCGGGCCATCTTGCCGTGGTCTTGGCGGAAGCTGGGAAAAAATGCTACAAAGGACAAGGATTCACGCTTTTTTGGCCCTTTTCGGGCTCGTAAAATGCTAAATAGGACAAGGATATGGCCATTTTCGGCCTCCGGAAATGCTACCAAAGGCCAAACCTTTAGGGGAGTTGCACGGGGCCTAGCCTTACCAAGAAGCCGGCCCTTCCGAATGGTAGTGCCATGCGGAATGGTTGCGGGTCTGATCGCTATCTAGACCCTCCTCGCATGCAACGATTTTCCGGGTTCCCCAGTGATTGACATGTATCAAAGATCGCAACGTCTGAGGCCGTGCCGAACTTGGTACGTACCACGTCTCAGAGTCCGCTGCCGAGTGGTATTGAGCGTGCCGGGTACGGTCGTCAGTCGCCGCGGTATAGTGCAGTGAGCGCAGCCCTACGTATAAATACAAGCGATCGTTAAGTATGTTGTACTCCAACATTTTTGCTTTGACCTCGACTCAGATATCTCAATTGACACTTTTTCCCCCACAGAGAACCATCGAACATGTCGTCGCAAGCCTGTCTTCCCACCACGAACACATCCACTATCCCTGTCTTGATTGTATGTACTGTCGCATTCATAGGATCTGAGGTGCTGGGACACAAACATTCTACCCAGGTAGGGGCTGGTCCAACAGGTCTGGCACTCGCCCTCACATTGGCCAAGAACAACATTCCCTTTCGCATAATTGAGAAATCTCTGAGTTTCCACACTGCTCAGCGTGGAGCGGGCATTCAGGTACGTTCCAGAAGAGGTCCTTACACATAGCTCACGAAATTCACTAGCCACGTACGCTGGAGATCTTCAACTATTTGGACGTACTCCCAGATATCCTGGCCAAAGGTCGTGAAATGCCGCCCGCACGCTTTTACAAGCTGCCGGGCGGCGTCGTACCTGAGAAGACCTTTCACATGATGTTACCGGCTGACCCCACACCGTCCATCCCATACGTACGCCCCATTTATGTATATGGATCTTATGGCGATTTGCTGACCGTGCGTATTCAGAACAATGCTGTGATGCTAGCACAAAGCAGCACCCAAGCGGTGCTGCGCGCGCATCTAGAGAAACACGGATGTTACGTCGAGGTCGGCACCGAATTCTGCAGTCTAGAACAGCATGACGACAAGGTGACGGCGAACCTTGCGAAACACATTGCCGGTGAGACACTCATGGAGTCGGTGGATTGTCGCTGGCTTGTGGCAACGGATGGCGGTAGAAGTGCGTCTTGTAGGCATTGCTACAAACCTGGGGCTTCAACTGATGCCATGCTCTTCAGGTGCCGTGCGCAAGCAGTTGGGCTTGACATTTCGGGGTGATGCCATTGGGCAGCCCACGGTGATTGGCGAAATTGAAGTCAAAAGCGGCTTGGACCAGATCGTGAGTGGCTCATGATCCAACCACCACTATGTTGACCAACGTTGTTGATGCAGCACATGCACAGCTGGGCACCGCCAGGTGGGGTGTGAGTTTTCTCCCTTTCGTTAGCGTGATACTCTCATGAACATATTGTCTACAGGCGGGTCGTCTTACGACCAACCGAGAATGATGGCGTGTTTTTCTTTCTTGTCGGCGGTGCAGTCGAACTGGCGCCTCTTGTGTCGGATCGCGCCAGCTTATTACAAGCATTCAAAAAAGGAACCGACAGAAATGATATCGTTTTCGGGGACGTCATAAACGTTGCAGAGTGGAGGTCAGTACCATGAATCTCGTTCAAGCTGACTGATTGACTTTGTATTATTACAGACCCCAAGTCCGAATGGTAGACACATTCCAGAGCAATCGCATCTTCCTGGCCGGTGGTATGTCAAGCACGATCAGCGTAGTCGGGATGTCTGACTTTGGATTTATCATAGATGCTGCCCATGTGCACACGCCGGCGGGCGGACAGGTACGTATATACGCATATATTGCGCTTCTCGAACGCATCTGATCAGTAATTTTCAATCTTTAGGGGCTCAACTCCAGCATCCAAGATGCGGTAGGTGCACTTACCGTCACATAGCCGCGCCATGTCGTTCATGTGTTCTGTTCTCCCAGTTCAATCTCGCTTGGAAGCTAGCACTCGTCGAGAAGGGCCTCTCTGATCCGAGCCTGCTGTCAACCTACAGCGAAGAACGTGTACCCGTGATTATCGACATGCTGAAAATAACCAGCGAGCTGTTCCGCAACGTTGCTACCACAACTAAGGACGAAGCTGGCCTCTCACGTGCAATATTGGCGCTACGGACGCGCAATGACCATGTCAAACAATTTGGAGTAAATTACCGATGGAGCTCCATCGTTCTTGACGAGCGACGCCCTGCGGACGAGGGCGAGGATCTTCGCGCGAATGCGTACGGCTCGCAGAAAGATGATGTGCTCAGGGCAGGAGATCGGGCGCCTGACGCGCCCGACCTGGTCGACGGCGAGGGGAAGACCTATTCTCTTCTGCGCGTCTTTGGCCCCACGCATCACACTGTGGTCATTTTCTCCACGAACGAGGAGGTCCTGGAGCCATACCTTTCGCTGTTAAGAGCTTACCCGAAAGGCATTGTCAGAACTCTGGTTGTGTCCTCACAAGGTTCCTCAGGACTTGCGAAGGTAGATGGCGTCGATATGATTGTCGTCGACGACGGCGGGCATGCATATGCGACTTACGGAGCCTCGGATAAGGAGGCCATTACCGTAGCTGTCAGACCTGATGGTGTGGTGGGCGCGATTGTGCGTGGGGTTGAAGGCTTAGGGAGATACTTCGAGAAGCTTTTCCACTAGCAGTCAGTTGTCTGATTACTTTATATCATTCAAGCGTTGACTTGTTACTTGCACTCATGTGGCCAGATTGAGGCTTGCTTGCTTGCCTGCTGTATGCTTTGTGTTGGAAACGAATTAGATTAAAGGTTCAATGTAATCAATGCTGGGGCAGCGCTTGAATCCGGATGGGTCGAATAGCTGAGGAGTGCGATTCTACTTCAGAACGAATAGACTTAATTGTACAAGGTAGAATGGACTCGAGGAGCAGGCGCATCGTTGATTTCTGACATCAACCCTAGTGTAGTAGTGAGACACCCTCATCATCTTCGTACAGGTTAGCTGACGAAATTGTAGATTTCGTAGCCAAGGGAAGCCAGGAGGCCGCTTTGGGCCCTGGGGAGTTTTGTTGAAAGTCGTGTATATTTTCACACGCCTCATTCAGTAGACTCGTATCTTTCGTTCCCTGAAATCAGGAATCGTCTGCACATGTCATGATGCAAAGTGAGGCAAGTGTGCTCTGCGTACCAGAATGCACATCATCCGAGTCAGCAGATCCGCTGTCTGGTAACGGGCAATCATACCAGTGCTCGTAGGTCCGGCCAATAGTTTCTCCGCTCAGGTAGCCATTTTCAGACAAGTTCTGGGAACATGTTATGCCCAGTGGGCACTTCTTTTTGGTGACTCGTGAAAGATTATCCAAGACCAGGTCTTCCATCTTGTCATACCAGTCCTCGAGCTTTTCAGCGCGGCGACGTACGCAGATTGAGATCTCCACGTTCGGGTGTTCATCGGCGATGCGGGCCAGTTCGGCATCCATCCTTGACCAGTCGAGTCGCGACTTATACTCGTCCCTATCGACCCAGTCCCACCGATGGATCATGCGAGTGAGGAGCTGGATCTTCTGCAGACGTGTATGCAACGGGAGAACCTGTGCAAGCGTGCTTGGAATCCAGTCCAAAGGCATGCGCCTCACCAAAACTGCCGCCTCGCGTATTCCGAGTGGGATGTCCTTCAGTTGCAGGACGCGGAGCTCGCTATTGTCGGCAAAGGATATGGCGGATACGCGGGGCTCGAACTGCATCGCAGTCATCTCTAGGTGCTCCAGCGATGGCCCAGCCTTGCGAAGGAGATCTTGCGCGTCCTCGACAGACTTTTCCGTCTTCGGGTCGAGCAAGAGGTCAAGCTTTCTGAGACGCAGCTGCAGTGGGGCCTTGGCGAGTATCGGAACGATGCACACAATGGGAGAATGCGCGGGAAAAAATGTTATATCGTGCACTTCGTGCATCGGGTTAGGTCTTGCCACAGGGGGCTGGTCGACATACTCCTCGGGAGCCGGCAGGACTTTCACAACTAATAAATACAGGCGCTCTAGAGATGGCATCACGTGGAAGAGGCGCAAGAAGTCGATCTCGTTGATCTCGAGTTCTCCTAGACAGAGTGACTTGATGTTGGGGAAGTGCCGCTCGAAGACGCGCGTGTCAAGCCCGATGTCGAACGCACTCCAGCCCACGAGCGTAAGATGCGTGACCGTCTGCAGCTCCGTACACAAGCGGAGTAAGCCTCCCAACGCAAACTGCGTGGGCGGACTTCCCAGACACAGACTGGTAACATAGTCTGCGATCCCAGGCGACTGGTTGAGTATGCTTATGAATAGAGCGTACGCTCGCTCCTTGCGCAGGTCGACTTCTTTGAACATGTTGAATCGACTCCTGTAACGGAATACGCGTCCCGCGAGACCACACGCCGCGAGTGCGGCACGATCATTATGGAGATAGTCCACGATCTCCTCGTAAATTTCCAAGGGAAGTCTGGGCTGTGTGGTCTCTGTGTCTATATAGATTTGTAAACGTTACGCGTGCGTGAACACGCGGTAGACACCACACCTATCATGGTTTCAAGCTAGCGAAATGCCCCACAGGAATGTTCGAGTAGTGGAAACAGACTCCGGGCTAGGGCGTTTCTATTTCTTGCAGTAGTGTGGAGTGAAGCCTTGTAGGATTTGCCGGTCCACGTACAACGAGGACCGTTCAAAATTGCCGCTTGAATCTCGCTGGAAAACAAGCGGCATTTAAGCGGCCAAAGCAGCGAGCAGAATCTGAGCTCCCCTCCTCGAACAGCGACATTTAAGCGACTGCTCGTCGCAAGCGCTCGCAGATTCTGGCTCACGGCCATGTCACGCTTGCACGATTCACCAACCTGATTGGCTGGGTAGCCCTTCGCAAGCCGAGAACGTGATCAAATCACGACTGCATCACGCTTAGTCATCTGTGACGCTTTCAGCGACCTTTCAGCGACCTCCAGCCACAATTGGGCGCTCAAAAGCAGCGAAAGGTTCGCTTATTTTCCAGCGACATTTAAGCGGCAATTTTGAACGGTCCTACTATATCGTAACAGTAACGACGTGCTACGAAAGTTATAGAAAAGAAAGATGCAACAATCACCAATGCGGGTCGCAGTCTGCTCATGACACGTGCCATCAAAACGCGAACGCGTAGGCGCCAGCACAAGACTTCCCATTTGGGTATACTTGTACTGTTAAATTCCTGGTTTATCTCAAAATCTGCGTCGTTATTGTCAGAATCTGCTAATACTTTATCGACTGTTACTAATCCAAAGGCACGTCTGGTCATCGAGGCCGCGCTTTCTGCCATTCGATACAAAGTCTGATACTAGTAAAAGGCACCCTATACAAGAGCCGTCTTCATAGTAGGGTCATGCTGATGATAGAGTTCAACGAACGCATCTCGTATTGCAAAAGAAGATATATCTGACGAGCATCGAATGACAGACTGTCACGGATTTCTGTCCTATCGGGTATGTGCCATAATTACAACTACCAGGAACGATATACACGCACAACATCAATACGTCCTCGGGTGATATTCAGGATAGGTGACATTGTCGGTATCGCAACATGTACAGGAGCGCTTGTGCTGTAACGCGACTGTTGGGTTTCGTGGAGGAATCCGGCTTCGATGCAATTCTTCACGACTTACAAACACAACCCGGGTCGTGGTGTAATGGTACGCCAGGAAGAGGCCACTGTAGCCCCGTCATTGGGACAGTATGCCATCAGACGTCTTCACTTCATAGATGCAGCTACCTGCTCTAGCTCTCTTGCGATGAGCGAGTTCGGGCATGACTTCCTGAGTTGTCTGAAAACGAATACGAGTTAGCTAGCTAAAAACCGATGACGCTGCATATTCTTACTCAAGCTTCGCCCTGTCGCCTCGGTCCTTGCACTCCTTGGCAGCCATCCTCCACTCGCCACAGACCACGTATAGATCCACACGCTTATGCGCGTCGCAGCGAGGCACGTACGACGCAGCCTCTTTCAAGTGCCCCTTCTCGGCAAGGTGGCGGACAAATGCTTCGTAGCCAATAGGGCTGCGCTTCGAACGAGCGAATGCTTCCAGGCCGTCGAAGTCTCTGATCGCCGTTAAGGCCTTCAACTTCACATACCAGAACCTGCACGATATTAGGACACGCATGTACTGATCAAGGCATTAATCACCGTTTGTCTGGAACCTTGAAGTCCGACTTAATCTTATCTGCCCGCTTCGACATGCCGTTGGTGAGACATATTCGGATCGTCTCGTTCACACTCAAGCCGAAGAACGAGATCTTTCCGTCTGCTTCTTTCTCCAATTGCTGCTGTGTGTTCAGGAGCCTCGAGTACTCCTCCATCGTCTAGATGATGTGCCGTTTATAAGATGGCACCCTATCTGTCATATATATTGGTGGCCTCACCCTAGCCTCAAAGCCCCGTTCCTTATCTTCTGAGAAGAACTTCTGAGCAGCTTTGATCGAAGTGATTTTGGCGGTAGGATCCTAGGGAAGGGTTTGAGATAGAGCAATGAAGCATGTCTCCATAGCATTAAGCACCTGCATCGTAGCTGCTTCCTCCAGACAGAGAACAGCACTCTCCACCCGCCGGTCATCGGAGTAGTAGAAGTCACGGAGCATCTCTCGGTTCTGTTCCCGAGCATAGACCTGCAAAAGCTTGCTTGCCGGGGCAAGTCTGTCTCCGCCCTCTTCGATCAGACGGAAAAAGGAACCCAGCGGAAGTCTCCTCTGCAAATGCAGTAAGACATGATACACTAGTTGGAACACTCAGCACGCTTTACAATATCCAAGCGCAATAGAGCGTACCAAGGTCTGTGTCGCCGCCCTCCACCGCCTTCGTGAGGGCAAGGCGGTCCTCCTTCATGCTCAAAAGAAGAGGAACCTGGTCTGATGCGCGCGGCTCATGATCCAGAAGCTACAACGCCACACACCGTTAACAACAATGAAAGTCATGAGGCGCGCGGTCATCACCTTCGTGGCCAATTCAGCGCGCCCGACTTCCCAGGCGCGCTTCGCGATGTCAGCATAGCTAACATCATCCCCGCCAAGCTTCTCGAACTTCTCCACGATAGACTTGCATACGGCATCATCACCATCAAGCTCCGCATCCCTGCCTGATCCGGTAGCCGTCGGCCTAGCACGCACAATCTTAGCGCACGCCCAGTGTTTGAGAACTGCGTGGGGCTTCAGTGACAGATATGACGATATGCGCAGGGCTAGAAGATGTAAACTGCGAGAGGTCAGCCGGTTGATGAGATGTGATGGGGATAACTGGATATATCTGCGTCGAATTTTCAGATGGGATGCTGTACCAGTATAAACCAGCTTACTGAGCATATGTAATGGGTATACCGATTTCATAATAGTGCACGGCATTTAAAACTTTTAAGGCCTGCCCCATTTGCACGAGGTCCGTTGGGTCATACAAATCTAGAAATGCTTGTCCGAATTTCGCCGCCTGTATTCACGCCACAGCGGTCAGCAGACTGCAATAAACGGCTGCAGAGAAACATCTCACACTGAGCAGTCGGCGTTGCCAGACAGGCTCCCATTCCCGTCCGGCAGCATCTATACACTCGTTCACCGCAGCACCGAGTTCTGGGCGGATATTTCGGATGCTCTCGTCGGCTTTGGGCGAACGGCGAGTAAAATTCTCCCAGGCATCGTACAGAATTGCAGACGGCGAGGTGGAACCGGGCCGGAACACCGAAACCGACGATACTGCCAGTCACATTGGTACTCCTGGATAAACGCTTGCGCCCACAAGACTTACCTGGAACCTTCTGGACGAAGTCGCAACTGTCTGGACCTACTAGACGGATCCCATCGCTCTCCGTGACAGCGAAGGTGGGCCCGGAATAGAAATACCTAGGCATTGTTGATTAGGGTCCTACAATTGCTTCAATTGTGATGTGACAGAAGAGGCATACTGGAGCGTGTCGCCGAAAGGCCCGACCAGTAGCGCCAACGTATCCCACGTCACAAGTACGGCATCGTTCCCGCACCACTCGACTTGACGAATTTCGCCCTCGGCACCAGGAGCATTAGCCGTGTTGAATTCTGCTAGACTTCTCTGGAAATCCGTCGACACAACCCACAGGAGCCCCGAGTACGTCAGGAGCGCCAGAGACTTGCCGTTAGGTGACGGCGCTAGATGCGTGAATGGACCTCGAGAAAGTTGCTGGTCTATGCTCTCGAGATTATCCACACTGTAGATAGTCGACTCCACGGACATCAGCACCTCGACATGCCTTGAAATAGTCAAGTCCGGAGGGATCACCGCCCATGAATGCGGTGGCTGCGTGAGGCCTGACACCAAGCTCAGAATGGACTGTCAGATGTCCGGAAAGCTTTGGATTCCTCACCGGAATTAGCGAGTGTTAGCGGTTTTCCGCCCGCCCAGTCTCGGACTTCCACCAATGTAAGCGAGCCGGTTAGCGCAACGATGCCGTTCTCATGTATACGTGCATCGAGGACGCCCATCTCTGCAGCTTCACTGCCAAGGGAGTATTGTTCGTAGTCGCCCTGCAAATCGTACAAGCGGTATGCTCCCTCTTCATTCAGCACGACCAACCGCTCGTCGCCGGTCCATCCAAAACGAATGATCTTGCCCTGGTCCCACTACATATGCATATTCAGCCAACATGTAAGAACAGAACAGAACAGAGATAGCCACACTGAGTACGAGGATTCCTTCCCCTGCCGATGAATATATTTGAATCTGAGCCTTCGCAAACGATGGCGTGGCACGACCGAGCGCGACCAGCTTCGTCGTGTCTCGCATCAGGGCTTTGAAAGTGCGAAAGACATCAGTAGTCAACAAGAAGCGGCTTGTGAGGAACTGACCTAGAGGGCCCCCATAACGACATCCTGCAGTTATGAAGTCTCCGAGATTAGGTAGCTTGCCCGGTATGGAGTATATTTGGTGCCGCCTGTAGAAGGCATTTCCGTCTTGCATGGCCTCCCATGATGTCGTCGGATGGTCCGTCATCGTCAGAAGGATTCCGTTGGATCAGAATTGCCACAGATAGACAGGACTAAGCCCTGCGACGGACGCGTCGACGTGCTGTTGCAAGCAGTGAGAAACCCGAGTTCATCTTATCTAATCTCTTGCCCGATACGTACGAAAGTCGAAGTCGAAATGTCAATGTGCAGAACACGCGAAAGAATGCTACTTTAGATAGACTACTTCTCAGTAGTCTGGTAGCTGACGAGCAGATTTTGGCGAAGTACTTTGCTACAGGAGGAGACAGCACATTTACTCTGCCGCGATTTTGAATTCTTTGTGGGAAACCTCGAGGTGTGGCGAGATGGGGCAGACAAATATTCAGCTAAAATATAATCTTAGGGGTCATCTCTGGAGTTAATAAGACAGACGTGAATTTTCGAGACTTACAGGACCTGGACAAAATGGTATCACAGGACGAGGTCCCAGAGGTGTTCCATACCTCGTTTAGCAGGTCATTTGCCCCATTTGGTAGCCAGTAGGTTGCCATCGGTTTATGATGTCATTCAACTATAATAGACCACACCCGTCACGCCCGCCTCCGTAGATATTTAAAACGGCTTGCGTACGGGGAACAAAGCCTCTCCTCGACTACCTCACGTACTACACGCTTCGTAGTGCAATGCTCATTTGCTCAAGCTTCAACCGGACGATGCGCAGTAATTCTTGTTTCATAGTTACGAACGAGACGGACAGCATGGCGACCTAGGCGACATAAACAACCTGAACGAGTAAAAGAAAGCCCCAGGGCAAAGACCGCGAAGAACAACAAGGAAAAATAAGGTTATGTGCAAAGTTGTAAGCTATATGCGATAAGGTGAGCGCAGACGTATGGTACTGTGAATGTATGCGTATCAAACTACTCTGATTGGCACCCGTGCGCGTGTCTCGTCCTGCCCGAAGACTACTGACACTTCCAGAAAATACTGCGCAAACTGTCAGCTAGTCACCAAAGACATTGAGATGGACGTACTTTCACGTTGAGGTCTTCCCAGTCGATTGACGGAAGCATATTCCTGTTCAACTGCATTTTGGCCTTATATAGGCCGTCCGGAAGTAGTGTATGCGCCGTCAAAGGCGGATGCTTTTGTCCAGGATCCAAACGCGCCCTCGGGCGCTTCGGGAACCCCACGTACACGTCCATGTATAACGAGCGTGTCTCGCTGAAGCCGTCCAACGACACCTCCGGGCGCTCTGGGCGCGGAGGCGGCACTGGCTTTGGTTGTCGGCGCGAAAGGACTGGCGGCGCACTGTTGACGACGCGTTTCATGAGCTTCGTCTTGTGCGTCAAGATAAAAGACGATGCCTCGTCGCTGGAGCTCGCGGACGACACGCTAGGGCGTGACATCAACGAAGCGGACGATGGTGAAACGGGGGGCATGTCGATGTTGATTTGTCGCAGGAGAGACACGGATATTGTCGCATCGGCGAGAATCTCGTGCGTTAGCGTCGGCGAGCGCGGTGTCGTGGTAAACACGACGTAATAGGGTATAGTCGCCGAACGCGAAAATGAAGGAGTGTCGGGGAGTGCTACCTGCGCAGAGCTAACGTTGGGAAGGTATAACGAGGGTACACGAGAGAGTACTCACTGCACATTTGAAAGGAATGGGACGTTCCGAGCGCAGCGAGTGTTCGATCCATGACTCAGGTTCCATTGACCGGCCGTCAAGCGACTCAAACTCGGGGTCGGGCTCCAAGATGATGGGGGCACCCACGCTGCGATCGGTATCACGCTTAACACAGATATCAAACGAGCAGCCGCTGACTCACGACATCTCATCAGTGCCATCGTCTGTTTCCCATGTTGCTATCAGCTTGTACATGATCTCAGAGCGCTCGACGAACGCTCTTGCCCGTGTACCAGCAAGGCCGTCAGCGGTAGCGCAAAATGTCTGGGGCAATTCTGCTCCAGGACGAGCTGATGGAGGCACTTCTATAGAGAATGGAAACGGCCGCAAGATTCCTGATATGCTTGTCTGGCTTGGGCGACGCTCCCTCCGTGGTCGCGTGGTCGCTGCGATGGCTTCGCGCAGCCTCGAGCTGGACCGACGTGGACCGAGGGTCTTGTCAATGGGAAGCGCTTGCGTTGTCGAGAGGAACGTATGTCGGTGCATAGTAGAAGTGGCCGCCCTCATCTTTGCTGGAATCTCGGGGCCCTCTGGTGGGGAAGAGATGTGTACAAACACCCCTTCCATCTGCGCAGTCGCTGAGTGGCGGTTACACTCAGGGGTCGTGAAACCGACTTGCCGTGATCGAGAGTCGCCCTGGACGCGCGCAGTGACCTGCGTCCAGTAGAACCGTGCCGGTGACTTTCTGGTGTATGTCGAACACTGGCAGGGGGCGCGGCAGCTCATAGCCGGGCGGACGCGTCATCTTCACTGAGGTCGAGCGCACATGCACCTCCATGTGGTTTGTGTTCCTGTAGCACGTCAGGCTCTCATCTCAGCAGTGATGCTCACCAGTCACCAGATACAGACAATGGCTCACCTAAAAACGGAAACATGGGGGTGCTCATCCGGTTCTGGGGGGCCTAACGGTCCCACATAACTCGACGGCGGACGACCCTGGCTCGGAGACCTTTTCGACCCACCGAACGGGAAACGAGGCAAGTCATCGCCCGAGCCCAAGCTCTTTAGGCTGTTCAAACGGCTCCTCGGACGAGAACGGTTTGGCGTTGGGATAGCGGCTGTTGTCGACATGGAGCAAGTCGTGGTTCGGCGAGTCACATCAGCGGTCGGCTATGAGCATGAAGGACCGCGAGCACAGGCAGGGAACGAAGAAGGTGCAGGAACCGTCGCGTCCGCTTTATACCGTCTAAGCTAAGAACCATCATATCGTCAAGCTGCTGATCTCCCCCGCTGAGCGTCACCAATGGGGCGAACCAACCCGCTGATCGTCTTTCCAGATCAGAACCGGACGTCACACGGAAATCACTTCGAGATCTGGTGCTGATTTGGCACAAAAGTTTGCTTCCAGCACTTTTTGCCTGCGTGTAATTGGCCCAGTTCCAGCGCCTGTGATTTTCCACCAAATCGACTGCAGACATGTGCAAACACACACTGATCGTGCCAACGGGAGGCGGGTCTACTACCCACGGGTACTAGACTTCCGGTGTGTCAAGGACAACGGACTATGCAACCGTCGAGGCGCTACAGGAGCCGGCGGTACATTGCACCCTGAGAACAACGTCTCGGCGACGTGCGTTTCCGGACAGTCGCTTCAAAAGAATATGAAAGTTCGTTCTGAAGTAAGCAAGCTACGAGGAAATTCCATGTTCTAGCATTTCGATGCGGTTACGACCAGTATGATCACTCCGATAGCTGAACCTGAGTCCCACACAACCTTCGAATCGCGCTGGACGTCGGACAAAGACCCTGGTTCTCCCCTGTAAATTCCTGCAAACGCCGGCAGTCTCAAAAATCAACCGCCCTGTCGTTCGCAGTCGGACTTCTGATGTGAACGCCGAGGCTACCAAACGGCGGGGCATCAAGACATCTGTTAGAGGGCGACAATGATAAACACAGAAATCAAGGACAGCCGAGCATAGCGTTAATTTGGGCAAGCGGACAGAGTTTAAAGGTCAGCGTTGACAACCGTGGTGTCGCCTGCGCTCCCAGCTGCTTCATTCAGCCCCACCAGGCAGCCGATCGCCAGCACGGCTGCAGAAAGCCGAGCACAATGCTGTTGCTCTGCCCGAAGCTCGCGAACGGCAGCCCGACATGGCCTAGCAGCATATCAAGGACTATCATCATCTATGAACTGGGCATCGGGAGCGGCAAGATGTCGGGTTTGATTGTACACCATTGCTACCATTCATCTATGAGGTGCAGCAACAAGGGAAGATCTCTAGCCACTGGTTGACATCGTTATCTATCCGGGGCTGAATAATAGGATCAACGCCCTCACAAAGACCACGCACGATACGTCCTGGGACAGACCTTGTCTTGTCCCCTGGACGTGCGAACCGTGCCTGCTTATATGGCGCTGAAGTCAGCGGCATCTCACTGCCAATTAACATCAATGCATCCATTCTAATGAAGACCCGAACTCGCGCGCCTCTGGACACACAGGAACCTCAGCTGTGTGAGTCAATATAAGTGACGCCTCGATACAGGGAACGGTAAGCAGAGCAAATGCATTGAGCCATTCAGCGCCTAGTCGGACAAATTAACCAGCACATGAGGATCCTCACTACTGCCCGGAACCAATCGTCTAAAAAGGAGCAGCAGCTGCTTGGCACTGTGCAAGATAGATTAGAATCACGGAGATGACCTGGAGACAATATGCTCACCGCCTTGAGCTGCTCAAGGTACCATGTGCATGACGGAAGGTCAGCCTTCTCGAGGCACATGGTGAAATCTGTAAATATGGTACCAGCTCAGTTACCGGACACAATGATACAAGGGCGAAACCGGGCTACTTACCCTTGGCCTGAACCTCACAACTGATACCCTGGGACTGGGACTGGTACGCCTGCTGCTGCACAGGCTGAGCCTGCGCCTCGGGCGCTGGCGCTGCAGAGGACGAGCCACCGAACAGCATACTCGAGAGGCCATGGCCGATCGTGGAGCCAACCGCTACGGAACCCGCGGTAGCAGCCATCTGTGCGAGCATGCCGGGCTGCTGCGTCTGCGCCTGGGCGGGAACAGCGGGTGCGTGGTGTGCAGGGGGCGCCGCAGAGCCAGGATAGGGCGCCGCAGCGGTGTGCGCACCGCGGCTTTGGCTTGCTGACGGGGCAGGAGCCGCGCGAGGTGCGGGGCGAGAGCGGGATTGCCTCTAACGTCGCGAACATCGTCAGTACGGCCGTCATATGCAACAGAGCTAAACGATGTACGCACAGCCATTATGCAGCAGAAGTGAGCGTCGAGATCGTTGTGGTTGAGGATGAAGTCGTGGAGAAAGACTCAGCGATAGAAATGCCGGCGGCGACACGCAATTTCAGGCGCTCATCGGGACGATGGCCACGTGAACCGGCTCTCGGCATATTCCGGGACCGAATTGGGCTACCGACGTTTTCCTCGACGTCGAGAGCGGTGTCGACGCTAGCTGCCATGTCGCTCAGCCATTCGCGGAGATGCATCGACCTCGCAGTGCGCGGTGCAAGACATAACGCACATCCCTGGCAAAGGCGGCCTCTGCTCGCTGGTCTCGTTCTACAAACACACCGCTGTTATGCTTCGAAAGCGAAGGGCCGTGCTGGCAAACAAGAGGCGGAGGACACCCGAGACGTAGACGCGATCATGCGCGACTATGAGGTACTCCGTATGATGGCGCATAAGCTGCCTATCGACCCATGGGCGCAGCCAGTCCCGACAATGGGTAGGTCCTACCTTCGTGTCTGATGGGTCTGCACCAGTCTGACCGGCAAAGCTATAAGATCTCCATATTCCGAGTCTTCGATCGCGTAAGAAGGATGCAACGTTGATGGACCATCTGTCTGCTACGGGCCAGACCTTGCGCAATTGGTTCCTCAATGCCGTACAGTACGTCTGTTTCGCAGTGCAGCCAGTAACGACGTCCTAAACGCACGGTATAGCTTGCGGCGGATGGCCAAGGACAAGGGCTTTCCCGACACCAAGGTGAGGTCCGGATGGTCATGGAGAATCTTCACAACACAGTCGACCAGCAACTCAGCGTGGATCGCGTCCTTGCGCAATATTGCGTTAGACACGTACAAGCGCGTGAACCAGGCTCTCGCTGAGTATGTCTCCTTGCTCTTTCCCCAATTATATCTAATTCCTGCAGCCGAGACGAGAAGGTCATCAAGCAGCTTGCTGTAGCGGACATGCAGAGCCACTATATTCAGCTTGTACGCAGTCAGGATGCCTCGCGCATATCCGTCTGGAAGTTCCACGGCGAGCGTTCGCCGTGTCGGGTTGTCAGTGTTCGCGCTGTACCAACTCACATGGGACAGGAAGTTCCCGGCAATGGTAGTCGGCTACTGGTCCAGGCTCTTGTAAGGTTCGATACGCTTCAGGTGAGATTTGCTGTTTTTGTCTTTTATAGTCTTAAACCGATGTCACGTTACAGAGTCTGGAGGTGTACTCAAAAAGGGGCACTTTGCTCCGCGGCCAGAACGAGCCGAAACCAGTCGTTGAGTATCTGGTCTTACAAAAGCGGATGTGGTACGACACACCTTGGACGATCCGTGACCGTCTCTACGAGGGTGTAGACACAGAGTACGAGAGCATAACGGCGTAATGTCTATGTCATGCGCCGGTAATACTATTAGATCTCGATATCCTTGAGTGACATGACGCGAATACGCAAGGCTATTCATCCTTGGATCTAGCCCTACCATACTCTTCGCATGCTTTCCAACATCGAGACAAGTCACAGATTTTCTTTCATATACGTGGCTTGTACAGTGACAAGAATCCTGCAAATTACATTAAATACTTCTGGCAGTGGGGTTACCTCGTGGCAAGACCCTTCACGAATATGTGTGACGGGGTGGCATCGAGCCCAAATAGAGGCCTAAACCTTTCTGGCAGTCATTCAGCTCGATATGGCGGGACTCGCATTTGGCAACACGGTGACCATACCTCCGTCGCGGACACCCGCCACACCCCTCTGCTCGACGTTGTCCTTATACATCTTGCGCGTATATAAGGGGCATGCGCATCCTTGTCTTGTCTCCTTGCCTTCTGCCTCCTCCCTCAACGATCTCCTGACGATGTGCTTCTCCTCTACTAGGGGCGGGGCTGGGATGTATGCGGGCAATACCGAGAGAAGAAGGTGCTATGTGTGTCTCGTACGAGGACCGATGAATACTGCCGATGCGTGGGCTTCTGGCCCGGTCTGGTCTCCATCCAGACCCACTCTACTATCGCGGACTTGAGGGATCTAGTAGGTACGAGACCAGCACGGGCTCATTCGTCTGGATGTCCCGATAACAGCAGTAAAAGGCAGGCTGTGCCATAGCATGTAGATTGCCGAATAGAGCAAGTATTGATTTAGATTCCCCTATTGGCATCGATGCTGATCAATTTGGTAAGTTGGCGGGTATGCACACTCGTCTGCGACGCAAAACAACTATGAAAGTGCTAAGCACTCATGTTCAAATGGCGAGACATGGGTTAGTCTCGTGAACGTGTGTCGGCCGCAAGATGCATCGGGAGACGATCGATCGGCCCATCTATCGGGGGCCCCGACTGCTGCAGGCCTGTCATGTCATATGCCATATGCTGAAGTAAGTTTCCAGTCACACTGCTCATCGTCTGCAACGTATCCCTTCATATACACCGTATCTCCTACAGAACACCCTGCACCTGGCAGCTGCTAGCGTATGTGAGTAACCTTACTTCACGTGGATTCACGAACACACGCAGATGTGATGAAACAGCATTTGTACTCCAGGCGCGACCCCTGTTGTCAAGGGTAAGATGGAACCCGGAACGCGCAAAGTATGCTCATTGGTTTGCCATGCAGATACCATTGATTGCATAACAACCCCTCGGACACATCGGACGGTCAAATCGGGTATGCCCAGCGCAGACACGGTGTGGACGCGCTTGCCCATGGAATTGGTCCTCAAGATTGTGGAGGAGGGACTGAGGGACCACCAGCTTGCACGAGCCTTCTCGCACGTCTGCGTACGCCTGCGCAAGATGGCGCTTCCTATCCTATATACCAGCCTCTCGCCTGTGGAGGACACCCGAACTCTGATGGGGTTCCCCGAGCACCTCAAGCCCATTGTGCACAACCTATGGGTGGAGTCCACGCCCCCACCCTCAACATCCGCTCTCGTCGCCGCCAAGACTGCGTGGATCTGGTCGCGCGTGCCCAACCTGGCCCTCTCGTCTGTGCTCGTCGAGGCTTGTCTCGACGTCATCGACCAGGACCTCGAGCACGCCGACCCGCCGTTCTGCTGCAAGCGCCTCACCACGTTCGGGCAGAACCTCCTGCGCCACTGGGAGGGCGAGCCCAACCTCAGCCCCCTTTCGACCGTGACACACCTCCGGCTGGTCGAAGACGTCTGCATGCCCGACTTGCTACTCATGTCGCGGATGCCTGCGCTCGAATACATTGCGGTCTCGCTGAATAGGAGCAACGTAGTAGAGCAGATGGCATATGTCATGGCCCTCCTGACATACCACGGCAAGGCGGTACGCATGGTTGCGCTCGTGCTTGAGCCGCAGAACGACCGGACGTTCTGGATGTCGCGGGTGCGCATCGCAATCAACATTCACCATAGCCTATATGTCGTCCCTGGTGCGCACAGTAAAGACGGGATCAGGAAGGAGTGGGAGGAGTATGTGAACGGGGGAGAAGACATCTGGCAGAAAGCGTCGGGGTTGCGGCAGGCAGTCCTGGACGAAGACGAGGAGGAGGTCGTTCGTATATGGTGAGTGCCTCCTCTGTACATCCGTACGATTGCTGATATGTACCGACTTACCACGATCGGGTAAATTCAGTTCTTCGGCTCTCATGTCATGGCAAGATAGCTCATGATGTCTTCAGTGTCCGCTGTGGGAGGCGTGGAAGAGCAGCGTTGTCCGATGATGGTCGAAGGGTATGAGTGACTTGTTGACTAGCTATAATAATATCAGGGAGTAAAACGGCCACGTTGATCTGACTACATGCGCGTTGACACCAAGTGAAAGAGATGAACGACCGACTAATGATGGCGAACTAAATGACGATGACGAACGCGAACGAATCTTAGACGACTATGATGGAACCTTTGACGACCACACACGATGCTCGGCGACCACAACGAACGAATACACAACGAACACGCGATACAACGGACGAACTCATAACGACGACGAAGATTCCCGGCGACCGAGACGAAAGAACGAACAGCGACCGCACGATACGACGAACGACCTCTCAACGACAATGAAGGCGACCTGCGACCACGACTGAACAATCCGCAACGAATGTATACGACGAATGCTACAACCTCAACGCTAGAACAGAATACGCTGCTTACCTCGAAGTCTATTGCAGTGTTCTGACAAAGTTTTCGGTGAGTTCCTAAGCGCGATGCTCGTAGTTCGAGGAAGAGGGGGAAGATGGGATTACATGATGTTGACTCGGGTTTATATATGTACAGAGGGGGCGCGACGGATGATGTCACGACCAGCTTGGGAGGATAGAAATGACGTACACGAGAGACAGAACTTCAACTTGTCCGATCAATTGACACATGTCCGAATCCAGCAAGCCACTATCCGAAACGAGATGGGAGCCCTTTCCTGGGCACAAGCAAGCTAGGCCCGACGCCTCGAGATTGAATCTGCAACCACCAATGTCTCAGCCTCTCGAGGATGATGCCTCCGTCGCACCATATTTATGTGCGCGTCCTGCCGCCCGGGACGATAGCCTTTTGCATGAATGAAGCCTTGGAGCAGTGACACCATCTTCTCGGGTGCTGCTGAGGCCTTCAGAAGCCATTTAGAGGGTCCATCCACAAGATGCAAGACCCGGGAAGGTCTACATCAAAACGCGCGGGGAAAGTGTAAACGATAACGGCACTCAAGCTGGCTTGTTCGTATTAGCGAAGTGTGAGTAATTCTTGCAGGATTGGATTCGCTGTGTGATGTATTTATGAATCAATCATGTAGTTATACTGCTCATTTTATAGAGAAGACTGACAAAGTTATCGAGGAGTCGTTGATAGCAGCCGTCGAACAAGCGCCGGGTCGGTATCCTAAAGTAGGTTACCGTGACGGACATCAATTCACAGATTGCTGACGTAAGTGAATAGATCACGCTCGAGCGCGAGCGTGCTTGCCGTCAGCCATCGCCAGCTCAAACGCCGTCGACGTGTTTTCTATCTCTCTCTCGGACTCCTACCATCGACAAGCACACTTGCCGGACTTTCCCTCCACCCTCGTTTACACCGCTCGCGACCATGGAGCAGCAAGCAAAGGCTCCGCAAGACCTGCGGAACGTCGTGAACTACCTGCGTAGCAGCAAGTCTGGGATGAAGATCCGGGTGGGCATCCTGAACGGGAAGCGGGTGGACTACTTCAAGGGTGCGCTGCGTGCTGGATGCTTGCAGGGCTTACGTTGCTGACACGGCCACGTATAGGGAAAGCCGCCGTGAAGGCGCTGCTCTTGCCCGCGTACGCGAAACTCAAGAACGTACCGCCCGTCACCTCTGAAGAGGACGGCCAGCGCGTGCTAAGATCCATCCTCCCTTTCGCCTTCTACCTCCGCGTCGACCGCGGGAACCCCGCCTCTTCCTCCAGTTCGCCCAAAATGCTGCAGATCACGTCCCAGCAGGCGTTCGAGCCACCACACTACTACGTGTGGTTCTACGAGGGCTCGCAGTGGACGACATACGTCGGCGGCATAGCAATGGTCGCCGTCATGCTTGCTGGCGTGATGTTCCCGCTCTGGCCGCCAACCATGCGAATCGGCGTGTCGTATCTCAGTATGGGCGTGCTGGGTATCGCTGGCGGGTTCATTGCACTGGCGATCATCCGACTGATATTCTACATCATCACCGTCATCGTTGCAAGTCCAGGGATCTGGATCTTCCCCAAGCTATTCGCGGATGTCGGATTTGTGAGTAACGCGTGGATTCCCGTGTGCGCTGCATACTGATAATGTTCTCAGTTCGAGTCCTTCGTCCCGTTGTGGGAGTGGGACTACCCAAAAAAGAAGGGCAAGAAGCGCGTCGAGAAGGAAAAGGGGAAGGAGAAGCAGGCAGTGGAGGGTGCCTTCATCGAGGATGTCGCAGACTCGGGCAGCTCGCGTCCCTCAAGTCGGAATGCGCGTGTGGAAGACGTACCTGACGAAGACTCATAACCATAGCCTGTCGGAGACGATGAGTGCTTGGGACTAGTATTATATTCGTGCTATATCTATTTGGCTATTATGACGATTCATGACCTCATGAGCGGATCTGCTAGGGTCCAGATTTATCATCCTGAGCAGGGGTGGAGGTGCGTTTTGAGGCACGATCGAGGCGCCGAAGTGCTGTTTGCGATTGTATGATGCCTTCACGCATCTTCGTGTTCTTTGCCTGGTCAAGGCTCTTTTGAAACAAATCCCTGGATTGCTCAGTGTCTCCGGCCATCTGCTCGTAGCGTCAGCGAGCACACATACTTTAGCAATAACACAGACTCACCTCAAGCAATGAGCCAAGATTAAATAGCACAGCAGCCAGTGCTTCGTCGCACAGCATCAACTCTTCAGGGGAACCCTTGCCCAAGGCCTTGGTGCTCTCGATAGTCGCGAGCCCTTGTCGAGCCCATGCCTCGGCCTGTTTCCGTTTTGCGTCTGTGGGCTCTCCACGGATAGACAGCTCCGCGAGGTTATTCATGAGCTGTCCGCCCCGACAACGCTCCTCGACCGTTGCTTTCTTCTTTGATGAAGCAGGCGGGACGAGCAAGCTGATCGCCTGCAGGTATAGCGGAATAGCGTACCTGATTACCAAGTCAAGAAACGCACGAAACCCTTGAACAAGAGAGCACTTACTCGACGTTGCCCTCGCGCGAGTAGAAGCGCCCCAATGCCTCTAAAGGCGCACCCATGTCCGTCTTGGTCACCCACGGCGGCACGTCCAGCTCTGCGAGCATGAATGGCACACCCGCGTCCTGGACAGCGTCCCCAACCACGAGCTGCCTATTTTGCCCCTCGTCGCGGACAATACGCAGAAGCTCCTCGACCGCCCACGTGAGCCATCGCTCCTCCTCCTCGACAGGCAGCTGGTATGCCTCCGCCATCTCGCCGAGCTTCATCGCGAGCGCGACGGCGCGCATGCGCTCCGGTCCAGAGAGCGTGCCTGGCGCGGCGGCTTGTGCCGCTCGCAGGCGGGAGAGCGCGTCAGTGTAGACCTCGTACGCAGGCTCGGCGCGCTCAGCAGCCTCGAGCACGGAGGCGAGCGCTATTGCGATGCCGGAGAGCTTCAAGTACGGCTCAGAGGCGAAGGCGGAGAGCGGCAGGGCCAGCGCGGTCTCGTATGCGCTGCTGCGCGTCAGCACACAGGATGGCGGGTGCGGGGCGGCGCCACTCACCGACGGAGGTACCGCTCGCTGCGTTCGAAATCGCCCTGGTTCTTCGCCTTGATGCCCGTGCGCAGGTCGCCGCGGACCTCCTGCGGCCACATGGTGAACGCGGAGTAGAACTCGTACCTGTACGCAGCATTTGAGCGCGCGGAGCGGCAGCAATGCGCGGATGCGACCTACACGCCGTAGGCGGTCGACGCTACCCCTAGGGCGATGAGGAGCGAGAAGACGGTCGAGATGCGAGAGTTGGAGCGCGCCCAGGCGAGCGGCGACGACGTCGCCAGTGTGCGGTGCTGCGTGAGCGTCGCACAGAGAGCGTGGCGAGATGTGCGCGGGGCGGGTGTTCGAGCTCTAAGCAGGTTTGTTGTCTGCCGTCTCAGCATATTGTGCACTATTCGCGTTCAGAGGCGTGTCGTGGTGTGCACGCTACCACCCAAGTGCAAGAGTGTGACTTGAGAGTTTGCCGCTGTACCCGTATGCTGAGCGAGATGATACAGTTGGACGAGTAAATATGTCGAGCCTGCAGAGTTGTGAAGAGGGTTGTGTGGTGGTCTTGGTCGGAAGTGGGAAATAGGTCCGTTCAATGTTGCCTTTTCGCTGCTTTTGAAGCGTCCAGATGCGACTGAAGGTCGCAGAGACGATCGCTTATGACTAAGCGTAATGAAGCCGTGACCGGATCACGTTCTCGGTTCGCGAAAGGCGGGGCAGCCAATCAGGTCGATGCACTATGCAGGCGTGACACGCCGTAGATTCTGCGAGCGCTTGCGACAAGCAGTCGCATATTTGTCGCTGTTCGAGAAGGGAAGCTCAGATTCTGCTCGCTGCTTTTGAGCCGCTTAAACGTCGCTTTTCTTTCAGCGACATTGAAGCGGCAACTTTGAACGAACCTAATAACTATTCTGGGATACTGAGCGTTTGTGTTGACTATGTATGAAGGGCCGTATTGGACAAAATTATAAATGTGTCTGGCTAGCTGGAAATGTACATTTCGGTACTAAAACTGCTCGCGTGGTCATGCGGAAACCTGCCACGTGGGTGATAGGCGCCTTCGCGCTATACTTGGTGGCTTACTAAGCTCCAGCCCCAGCACGCCAGTTACACTGGGGGCAATCCAAGATTTCTGCTCTCCGAATATTGTCCAGAAATCCAATGAAGTGTAGGAAATAAAAATTGAATACCTGACTTCCGAATATTGAAAGAAAGCCATAAATAAGTGCGGCATATTCGGAGCTCCGAATATGGCAGCGAATATATTACATAATCGTTTCTCGAATATGAGCCACAATATTCGTTGAATATTCTGCATCAACACATTGTACTAGTAAATATGATAAACAGGGAGTATTCGTGAAACGGTTACATTGTGAAAAATTGTCAGCACCTACAGCATGGATAGTCCCCAGATATGTAACCAACAATTGAAGCCTCGGATGGTGTAAGGCATAAAAACCATATTCCGTGCTGATCTGCCAACCAGAAATGGCATACACTGGGTGATTAATCCATTTCAGCCAATATATAAGGGATATCCATGCTCTGAGTATTAGCAATAACCCACGCTGTATTTGGTCCACGAATGTCCCCTGTTTATCATATTTACTAGTACAATGTGTTGATGCAGAATATTCAATGAATATTGTGGCTCATATTCGAGAAACGATTATGTAATATATTCACTGCCATATTCGGAGCTCCGAATATGCCGCACTTATTTATGGCTTTCTTTCAATATTCGGAAGTCAGGTATTCAATTTTTATTTCCTACACTTCGTTGGATTTCTGGACAATATTCGGAGAGCAGAAATCTTGAATTGCCCCCAGTGTTAAGTTCTCTCTCTAATTGCGCTGCCACCGTAAAATAAGCAGAATGCTTGCGGTGCTATGATATAACTATATCATATCAATTATATTGTTATCACTTCAAGTAGTAATGTTACATGGGATTATCAAGTCAGAGAGAGAGTGTGTGCTGTTCTTCTTGAAATTTAAGTCGCCTGCTTGTTCAATCATATGTCCTTGATGGGATGGTCCTCACATGTCACATGTGACAGCCTCTGAATCGAGCCATGAAGCTCATTGAAAAAGTGAACACGCAGATGGGGATCATATGGATTGCAGTCAAGATGACTATGTCGTGGCGATCGTCGTCCACCAAAGGTACGGGAGCAGCATGCTATGTGTCCCGTAACGCGATGAAGACAAGAATGTACAGCGCCGAGCACTAGTGGCTCGAGCACAGATGGAAGACATCGCGTCCATGTGGCAGGTTTTTGGTTTCGCACGTGGCAGGTTCCCAGCCACCTGGTATTTTGCCTGAAAACGAGCATTTTAATATTGTGTCCAGCCCGGACCGTCAAAACTATGTACAAGCACTTACTAATGTTGTAGGATTGTGCGGTCGTTTTGTGAAGCTGACGCTAGGTCCGTTCAAAGTTGTCGCTTAAATGTCGCTGAAGAAAAAAGCGAGACGCGTGTTTGTTTTTCGGTATGTGATAGTAGTACCTGAGACGGGAAATAGAGAGAGAGAAGTGGGAGATGGTAATGGTAGGAGAAAGAGAGAGAGCGAGCAGCACGTTGGAACGCGCGCGGAAGCAAAACCCAGCGTGCCAAACAAGACGATGGGCGGACAAACAAGTGAGGTCAATGTGTCGTCAGTACGTCTCGGTCCCAAAATGGTAAGCAAGGTGAAGCACGAGCGTACACCCTCCCAGCGTATGGTGAGAAGAGAACATGTAGTGTAAAACAAAGAGGAAACAGGAAAAACAACTCGGTACATCAAGAGCAGTCACAAAGCACGATCAGAGCATTATTTCTCTCTCTGGCTGTCTGTCCACCCAATGGCCAGGAGCTCAGGATCAGAATATCGTCGGGGTATTATCCTAGTTGTTATGAACACTGCAAATACAAAGGAGTCTCTTCATTTTGACTGCCAGCGCAGAGACCTGACGCTGGCCTTGCTTCACCGGGCCTGTTGGGTGACGGTCGTAAGGACCCATCAATAAGGTACAAAGGGACATGCGCGACTGCGTACCTTTTGTAAAGGTAAGCAGAGATCTCTTCATTCGTGCCAGTCGCCAGAATGACTGCGCCTCCGGTAAGGTGGTCTCGCCCTTAGTCTCTGACAAGGACTCCGGCGGTGTATCAACTGAACGCTCTACCGCCATCACCATAGTGTTCGAAGAATGGTCAGTGATAGCATCGCCAGAGTTTGCATTGGTGGGAGCCTCATCGTGTACCAGATCGGGCTCCGTAGTGGCGCCCTCGGCCACAGCTTGAGCCAACGGTACTGCACCGTCAGGTGTCGCCGCCCGAAGCTTACCCAGCGCACCATCGCGTGCTTTCCGGATGAGCCTAGCCAAAATCGCATTTAGCGCATGAGGAGGTGAAAAGGTCGAAGTAAAACGAACTCAGCCATTGCCTCTGCTTCCTCGGCGAACCCACGGGGATCAGCACATTCTCCTCCTTCGGTCAAATCGAACGAGTAGTTGACAAGAGGCACGACATCGATATCATCAACTTTAGCGCGGAATGGACCAAGGACAGCCTCAACGATGGCCTCAGTGTCAGCATCGCTGTCGGCATTAAGGAGGAGGTTATCAGTGTCAGCATCACTGTCGACACTGTCGGAGTACACTGTGTCAGTGTTGCCATTGAGCGTAGGTATACGATCATCGTCTGTAGTGATGGCGGCATCAAAGTGCTCAGAGACAGCATCTTTGTGCGGACATGGCGCGCCATCTTGATCCTCGCTGCAGTAGACCGCCTGAAGCCAGTCTTGCACATTCACGGCGTCAGTCGGAGGGACAGGTGAGTCAGGGTTGGCTACAATTTCGGAAATTTTTGGGGTCTTCTCCGTTTCCACAGGCGGAGGGCCTAGAAATAGTGTGATGGTCAACTTCACAACACGGTATGAAGTCTAAAATCATCTTCGCTCTGTTGTGTGTGTAATGCGTTGTGCTGGGCCCAATCCTCACTAAGATAGTCTTCATGTCTCATCCTTTCCTTGACAGACAGTCTTACAGCATCGCCATAATCTATGTCACGAGTAGGTATGCGGACGATCACACAACCGAAAGAATGCTGATAGCAGTTTGGGAACGGGAATGGCTTTGACGGATGAAGGGGTTCACGACCCGCTGGATGCTCGCTACAGGGCTCGATGGGCGTGCCCATACTCGATGTCTTGAATTCCTCTGACTCATCTTTGGGCATGCCAACTCCCACAAACTGTATGACACAACGATGCCATGGATGACGATGAAGAGGAAAGTCATAGATCTATCATCTTGAATTAGTGAGCGTTTGGCCCAGGACCTTGAACACACACCTCATCTATATATGCTATATACTTGCGGGATGTCAATTCGCTCGCGACAGCAGTAAGGCGCAGATCGTCGAGGCACTCGGCCATGCATATGGGATCCAGCCATAGTGCAATATATGAACCGTGAGGTGGAATATAGCCGGTTGTGCGCAAGTCCGACTCCATCATTGCTTATCCTGAGTATAGCAATGTGCAGTTCCTGTGACAACTTTGCACCATATGCGCAGCTGCGTGTTCTACAACTGTTTCCGTAATCCATGCATCATGTCCGAAGTCCGCATTGCGGGCTTTAAATTCATACAATACTCATGACTCACACCCACTCTAGGGACAGATCTTAAAAGTGTTTGTTCTTATGGGATATACGGGAATTGTCACGAGTTGGTACGGCGTCTAGCCATCTTTTAATTTTTTCCTTTTCGCGGGCTCGAACCCGCGACCTCTGTACTACATGCCCGATATGGACGCATCGCTATCTACTGTACGATTAGATTAGATGGGACGGCAGTGCACGGCACAGCTCGGGCTCCGCTGACACAGCCTCTCTGACTCACCGGCCCCCGGGGCTGCGTCAGCATGCTGCGTACAGACCAGCTGCGCACGGACCAGTGCGCGCAGCCTCCCCTAAACCTCCCCTGTATATAAGCCGGCCTCTGCTGCCCTAGGGACCTCAGTTTCGACCTCTTGTCCCTAGGTCAGTAAGCCTTCAGTTGTATTCCTTTTTCCTTACCTAACTAATATATTATCTTGTCCCTAGCCTTAGGTTTGAGCATCGCTCACCATCGCTTCGGTAAGAATCAGTCGGACGCCCCCAGCTTTTAGGTTTTCCACAGTCGCTTGACCTCAAGTCGCGACATTAGGTCGAAACTCCCCATAGCTGCCGGCGTTCCATCGGACTCCCACAACTCACATTCACTTCCTATAGGTTGGGTGGTGCGCACCCTTACTGTACCCTACGATACCTAGATAGTGAAACATTTGTCTTTCCGTTCTATTCCTTGTACTACTAGCGCCCATACTGGCGCCTGTCTTAGCGCTCACCCGCAGGTTGAACATTATGTAGCTTACATAATGGGGTCCGTGCGCACTTCGTGCCTGGTATCGTACCACTATGTTTCTTTCTTCACTAACATGACCACATAGACATGATGGTCCGTGCGCAGTCGGTACTTGTATAAGTAGTTGTACCATTAGTCGGTCGAACCCTAAGTTCGACCTGGTTATTCATTCAAGTCTCTGCTCCTCTTCGCTTGGGGTAGTGGTCATTCTCGACTTCCTCGCTCGATCTTCAGGACGACGCACTGTCCATAAGTCCTCGCTCGTCGTCTACGAGTCAGGCATCAATATAGGAGTGTAGACCGTTGTATCAAAAGGTCGAACTTTCTAAGCTACGTTCCTAGTTTCACCTAGTCGAACAACTCATCCACCATCACGTCGAACAACGCAGTAAACCCGGTTCCCTTGGGACTACCAGCCCTCGCAGGATCTCCCCTTCTCCAGTACGACCGAGCAGACCGTTGCTTCGTCACCACCACAAGAACGGACTCCCATCTATCCTCGAGGCGGCTCCTGGGTTC